AGTTTCTCAGGTGCTTTTTTCAGTGGAAATACGGCTTTATCTGACACTTTACATAAGAAAGAATGAATTTCAGGTATCTGAGATAGAAAAGAACTTACAGGCCACATCTCTTACAGAACTGACCAAACAAAACACTAACTGATGGACTAGCATAGTTTTCGTTTCAAGTGTAGATGCAGACACAGCAGTTTAACCTTCAGATTCTAAAATCTATTACCAAAACTGATCTCAAAATACCTTTAGCAAAAATGTTCCTTATGTGAACACATCTTCAGTAAACTCTCACCCAGTCAGGGGCTGAGGACATCAAAGGATCTTTCAGAATGGGATTCTGGAAAGATTACCTTTGAAACACCATTCTTTAGGTAAAGATACTAGAAACAGCTAAATAGTTATAATATTATCATATAAATTCCCCTTACTTGATTTTCAACCTGGTCTACCCAGATGGAAAGAAGGTTGGCAAAATATGCTGCTAAACTTGTGATAATCAATTACTCAGGAAGAAGGACATGAACTAGAATGTAAGAGTTCAGCACAGTTCTTTTAGGTGGCAGGTCAAGAGAAATGGCCAGGAAATGGATACTATGGCCTTAAGAATGACAGAGATTCACATCTAAGAGATAATTCTATACTGGGACTTCCTGTATGACTGCTGACCACATGCTCCCTTGGCTTAAGTGTTGAGGCTCCACAAGAAACTAAGATAACAAGGAAGGAAGGAAGATTTAATTGTCAGAAACTAGGCAGTGCAGTGCTGCTAAGAAGTTACAGAGCTCACAGAATGGCAAGGATTAACAAAAGAGGACAGTTTCTCAGAACAGGAAAACAATAAACAGTTTGTTTTCTTCAAAAGAGATAGAACAAGACAAAAGCAGGAAGTGCTGTCCTTCCTCCATCCTGCCAGATTTTCAATGGAAAGTCAAGTGTGTACATCAATCATAAGGAAGAAGAGACCAAAGTGATATCACCCTCAATTTTTTAAAAGGAAAACACAAAGATGCAGCACATAACACACTTCTTTATTTTGCCTTTTCAAACAGGTCGGTGCATGCCACACTATGAAGTAATTCCCACTGAAATAGCCCAGCACGTGCCAAACATCACATTTCTTTAAACTTTCTGTATGATTCTTGCCTCTTGGTGCTCGAGGCAGGCATTTGGGCTGGAAGAAGAGTGCTGTTCCTTATTTCTCCAACACAAAGATTCTGGTTCCACATGACTTAGGTGCTTATAATCCCCAAAGGCCCTATGGTGACAAAGAAAATTCCACATATTTGGCTGGTTGACTGTCAACTGTTTTTGAGAGTCTAGATATTTGCTAGAAGGTTCTAAAGGAATGAATACTTAGCATACACCCTCCAAATTTAGAATAGAACTAGAAACAATGAGAACAAATAATTTACTTGTGCTCATAATCTCCCAGTTGCACAGTTAACTTAATATGCTCCCTGGTGGACTTAGACTATGTCATTCTGGGATAGAAATGAAATTTCACTAAATTCCATTAAATGAGAGTGAAATAATACATACAGCTGCCTCCCTTACCAATTTGATTGGCTATAGAAATGTTGTTTGTAACTCAGTATTTTGGATCCCAGAATACTTTATAAAATAATGAAAAATAAAACAATCATTGTTCAAAAATAGTTGTCAGTCCCAGGAAAGCCTGCACATATCTATCTACCCCATAATATATCTAGAGTATAGAATTGTATTTACACTACTACAGAAGTGGTCAGGTATTAGAAAGAATAATTATAGCTAACATATTTTGAGATGAGGACAACAGCCTTTGAGTGATATTCTGAACTTCTCCACATCACACAGCTAGTAAGTGGTGGATACAGAAGTTGAATTCTGGGAGTTCAACTCCAGAGATAATTTAAGTGTTATTCCATTTGCTAACTTCCAGATGTAATTGTCTTTGATGAGGAATGAATTTGGAGTTTCAAACTGGGATAAGATCGGCATCCCTTATCTGGGGGAAGGGCAAAACTTCTAGGAAGAAGGTATTAACTGTAGAGTTAGAAATTCTATGGGAGAAGGTTATGAGGAACTACTAGACAGAAACTGAGGGCTCGAGGGCTTAAGTTCCTAGTGGAGTTCTCTTGTCGGGTTCTTTTGCATGCTTAGGGGCTGGCTGAAATATTTCTGTTTTTATGCAGGGTTTTATTTCTTCCAGGACCACAGTTCAACAGAATGCACAGTCAAAACTTCTTTCTTTCCGCTCGTATCTCTGAAATAAGCACATAGTTCCACTGAGGTTTCTGGAGAGTTTTTATTTCTAGCAACCTAAAAATCAGACGAGAAATGGAAGAGCTTCTTGCTGCATCCACATCCTGCCCCCTTTTTTATTATTTATTTTCACTTTGACCCTTGTAGAGAAAGACCAAAGTCTTTAGATAAATAAAAGATTGAAAGAAGGATCCATCTGCATTTTAGAAAATAAAATCTAGACTCCAAGTTCCTGCATCATTTCTCTAGAAAGTATGAGGAAAAGAGACATACATGTAGGATTCTGCCTTTCAAAGGGTTGAGTATCGTGGAGTCAAGCAGAGAAATAGAAATGGGGACTGTATTGGCATGACTCAGATAGCTCTTTTTCCTTATTTTCCCTATTACAGATCTTCCCAGAGTACACAATAAGGAAAGAAAAAAAATGGGTAAGATGATGGGAAAGAGAAGGAAAGGGAGAAAGAAAATTCCATGCCAAGGAAACCTGGAGGTGAGGGAAGCTTTTGGCAGGTATTAAGGAGAATTAATATATAAGACAGGTGATTTGACAAGGTTGTAGGCTGAAACGTATATATAAATACATGTGACAGAACAGTAGGATTGGAGAGACAACTTAGAGCTTGTGTAGTCTTATTTAACCTCATTGGGGAAACTATTTCTAGAGCATCTTGGACAGTTGGCGAAGCAAGCTCTGTTTGAATATTCTAACTAACCCATTTCCTTCTTGGACCAGTCCATTAAAGTTCTCATAACATTATCCTCTTGCATCCATTTGTTTTGGAACAAGCTCAATGATGGCAGGGAGTGAGTCTTAATTATTCCTGTATCCCTACCTAGAACCTCCAACTTTGTACACAGCAGATGCTTAGTAAATGGTTGAATTAATGCATAAGTAGATTAATGGGTATAAATTGACTGAAGAAATAGATCAGGTCTACTTTCCAATCCATACAATAACTCTTTACATATCTGACGATAATACCATGTCTCCTAAAATTTCTCTTCTTCCAGTGAAATAGCCTCATTTCTATCCCCTAATCCTTACTGTTCCGATAACCTAACTCAGGGAACCTGCATGTGCCTTTCTCAATTCTTTTACAGATTCAAAGGAAATAACAAGGGGTAGATAAAAGTCCTTTTATCACATTTGTTTCTATTTGTTATTAGCTGTAAAATCCCTTTTGAATTTTCTTTTTTTTTTTTTTTTTTTTTTGAGCTGGAGTTTCGCTCTTGTTTACCCAGGCTGGAGTGCAATGGCGCAATATCAGCTCACCGCAACCTCCGCCTCCTGGGTTCAGGCAATTCTCCTGCCTCAGCCTCCTGAGAAGCTGGGATTACAGGCACATGCCACTATGCCCAGCTAATTTTTTTTTTTTCTATTTTTAGTAGAGACAGGGTTTCACCATGTTGACCAGGATGGTCTCGATCTTGACCTCATGATCCACCCACCTCGGCCTCCCAAAGTGCTGGGATTACAGGCTTGAGCCACCGTGCCCGGCTGAATTTTCTTTTTTGTTTTGAGACCGAGTCTCGTTCTGTTGCTCAGGCTGGAGTGCAGTGGTGCAACCTTGGCTCACCATAACCTCTGCTTCTCAGGTTCAAGTGATTCTTCTGCCTCAGCCTCCTGAGTAGCTGCAACTACAGGTACACACCATCATGCCCAGATCCTTATTGCATTTTTAGTAGAGATGGAGTTTTACCATATTGGTCAGGTTTCAAACTCTTGACCTCAGGTGATCCACCCGCCTCAGCCTCCCAAAGTGCTGGGATTACAGGTATAAGCCACTGTTGAATTTTTTTCTATAGCCTTCTTAAAAGCATGATTTCAATACAATAAATAATATGTATTTATTGTAAAAAAAGAAAATGAAAACCTCTCATAACCAGTATCCCAGATACATCTGCTTCTAGTTGTTAACAAGTTTTAAAATGTAATTTGATAATACTGCACACATAATTTTATACCCTACTTTTAAATATAACATCAGATGATGAACATTTTTTCATGCTATTATCAATTTTTCACAGAAACCATTTTAAGTACTTCTGTATTTTACTGCTAAGCTATCTAGTTATTTATCTAACCAAATGCCTTATGGTTATACAGGACCCAATATATCACTGCAATAGATAGGACTTCGGGGGAAAAAATCAATGTACATGAATTTTTTCCACATCTTCAATCATCAGTTTAGGACAGATTACTAGAAGTCTAGTTACTAGGTCTAAGGCTATACATTTTTAATAAGGCTTTTGAACTCTTCTTTCTCAAGATACCTATCCCAGCCCTCAAGAATAGGTTTAATACCTTTGTTCTATGTTATCATGGCACTCTGCATTTTTTCTTCATAATCTTCATCACCATTTTGAATACTTGGCTATCTTTTTATTTCCTGTTAGACTGTAAACTTCATTAAAGTAGGTCCGCAAATTATTTTATTGACAGTGTTTTGCCTAGGGCTTAGCACACAGCACATACTCACTATATATTTTGTTGAATTAGCTGCATACTGTTGAATAGTTGCTTATTGCTAAAGGGGTTTGAATCTGTGCCCCAGAAGCACTGTTTACATATATGCAACTGGCTGTATCAATGTTATGAAGGTGTGATACCCCAAATGGGGTAACATCCTCTTGATGTGATTCAACTTGAGTTATGAATGAAGCCTGTGATTTAGAACTCATTTCTCAGCCATAATGAATTCATTGAGTGCATTAAGCTCAGCATTAAAAATACAGGGAGACTAAGATCTGAACATTACCAACTCTCGTGGCAAAAAATGTCCTTCTTGGCGGGCAATGACCAGTGATGCTGTCTCCCCCTGCTTGGTGCTCCTGAGCATGGCCACGAGCTCTTCCTGGGTTCGTCCAGTGATGTCTCTCCCATTTACCTAACGAATAAAATCATATGAACAGCCACAATCACAATACTTGTTATGTCCTTCTGCCCTAAATAGTTCTTGAAAGTAAGAAGCAAATAGGCTCCCATACTTGATGAAGCTCTGGAAAGATAAAAACTAAATACATGGGCAAAAACCAACAGCTCCCAATAATGCATCATCATTATAATGCTAGATGAACTCAGAGTCAATAGTTAGTATCAGCAGTTTCTCCTAAGACATCACATTCTTATGTGGGGAAAACTGGACTGACAGGTACCAGAAAATGATTCTGCTATGGGTAGAAAGCAGATTTCAAAGGCCTATCTAGCACCATTTTCTGCCCAATTCAACAAGAAGAGTTGAACCATGATCACAAGGCAAATTTCTCTGGAAATATAAATCTAGCAATAGAATCCTAAAATTTTTAAGCATATTTAGAAAATTATAGTCACTAGATTATCATAGATTATTGGAAATTCTAATTTGGAGCTACATTAGTCATTTGGTTCATCTTCTTCCACTATCTAGAACCACATGAAAAGCGATAGTGTTGCTTTTAACAAAGATGATTGCTTCAAAGGTAAATTGACATCATATAACTATCAAGAAGATAATGTCCTCAGAGAAAAATAAGTGAAAAAATAACAACCCTCTTGCTTTTGGTATCCCAAATATATCTCTCTGCAAAATCCCATACAGCTGTTTTCATTGCTATCCTAGCACATATGATAGAGATCTGAAGAAGGCATAGAATCACTTCAGATACTCTGGCTTGTCCCGGCCAAGTCTGAAGAGACCATTACAAAGGCTTTTTAACTTTTGACCCTACCTGAATATATGTTAAATTCTTAGATTCAATTCAAATTTCATAGTAACCCTAAGAGGTAGAAGTAAGAGAGGGAAGATCAGAAATGGTTTTCATTATCACTTGGCCCCATATCACTGGCCTTATGAGGGATTTATGAAGTTAGGTTACCCATTAACCAGTTCTCTACTTAAAGTTCTTGTCTATAAGTAGTAATTTTTAGTATATATTAGGTTCAAAATAAAAATATTAACATACATACATATATTTCAATGCCATTAAATAACATTATTGAAATGCCAAGAAATATTTTCTTACATCTATTAATTCTAATTCTTACCTCCAAAATTCTGTCTCCTGATTGTAGGCGGCCATCTTTTACTGCTGCTCCCTTTGGTAAAATGTTTTTTACAAAAATGGGACCAGGACCGTGTATGGAAGAGTCTCTGGTAACCACAGTGAAACCAAGTCCTTCAGGGCCTTGCGTATAAGAACAGGAAAATGCATAGTCATCTTAAGTATGAGTAATATTATATTTAATCTTACAGTAAGATCTACCTAATTTAGACTAATATAGAATCAGTAAAATATTTACATTCTGGGACATTTTCAACATGCTTCAGTTATTCAGTTTTCAAATCAGATTATAGTTTCTGACAGGTCATGATGGTATCCAAGTGAATTTAGGGCCCAACATAGATGCCTAACACTTTGGCTTATTCAGGTTCTGGAAGAAATGTACATGTTATCCATGTACCCAGGAGACTGATTTCTCAGTAAACAATAACCTGACTTCATACTTTCAGAGAAGCAAAAGGCCATCTGACATAAGTTTTGTCAGCCTCTTAAATGAGCTGGACAACCTGTGGCTGAGCCCTCTTCTGTGTCTCAATCCCTCGTACTGCTGCATCCCACTGTCTGGTCAGCAAGCGTCTTGCTGTTCCTGCCCTGTTCTCTCACATCTTCAGTTTCTCCCTTGTCATGTATTTTTCACTTTATCTAAAAGTATGCTCAGATTTCTCTAACCTGAAGGATCCTTACTTCCATCTTACTGCTTCTTCAAGCTTCCATCACCAGTGACCTACCCATGACCATCTTGTTGGTCTAGCTTTGATGATTCCCACCATTTTCTTAAAATTAATTCTCTCTTTGGTTTTCATGTCTTTATTTTCTGATTATTTTCCTACCTTTGATCACATCCGTCACTGTTGCTAAATCTTACCCATTGTCCTCTCATGTAGACACAGATGTTCCTCTCAGATCTGTCCTGGACTAATTTGTCCCCTGACTCCCCTGCCTTGGCCAGTTCCTGGATCCAACTATATCTCCCAGCGAAAGAGACCTAATCTCTATGGCTCCAATCTCTCTTTCTGATGTCAGCTTCCTAGATTTCACCATGTACATTTCAAACTTCACTCTGTACCTCCATCTCCAATCCAGATCCTGACCTTTGCAAATATCCTCATCTACTTAAAATTCTAATTTCTAGCAATGACATCTCCATTATGCAACTTTCTCTGGCTGGAAAACCTCAGCAGTCGCTGTAATTCCTCTCTTTTTTTCCTTCCTACAACGAGTCATTTATGAAGGCATGCCTATTATGTTTCCACCGTTAGACAGATGCAATGCACCCATTACTTCTCTTTTGTTGCTTGGCCTTGTCTTCAGTGTATCTTTTTGCTGTCAGGTTAATCTTCCCAAAGTACAGATGTGATGTCATATCTTTCATTTTTGCATTCAAGGCTTTTTAATGAATTTTTAAGGTGATTCTTTGTCTGATTCATTTCTCGATATCCAAAGCACCCAAGCCTGTGTCTTACACATAGTTGGGTCATTGGTACAAAAATGCAACTGATACATTTAAATAAAAAAGAACCTAATTGATAAGCACACTGAAGTATATTTATGCCTACTAGTCAGTGTATTTTATTCCCAGAATAGAATTCTTATAGGTGAATGAAATTTTGATCAGAGAATCTTTCCAGAATCATTTCCATACCCTAATTAAAGATACATTATTTGTTTTTGAAAGACCCTAATAGTTCTTCTAAAACTACTTTGTGACCATAAATTCTCTATTAATTCAGTCAAGAATCTGTAAGATCTTGGTTTTGAATTGTCTTGAAAAACACAGAATTTCAAAAGGTTGCAGTGGGGGAAGGGAATACCAAGCAGAGGTTACCAAATGAACAAAAGCACAGAAGCACATGAATGCTTATGTATGTGTGTATAATACTGCATAAATATGCATGTACACACACAATCTCTTCTCACTGATCTATGCTTGAAATGGATAGAAAAGTTGAAAAAGATGAAGAAAAGATTATACATCCTTTTGAAATTAGGTATGTTTTAAATAAATGTTTGTGATGTCAAATCAAAAATTAGTAAATATTACATATTTGCTTTCTGAGGAGTAAAATTTTTGTTGTTATAAAACAACATGTTGTTTCCTAAAAAACAACATGCTTTTTGAACATGGTCTAAAGCATGCTCCAAGAATCACTAATCATGCTCAGAACAAGGACAACCGAATTTCAGTGCCTATTTAGTATTAAGTTGTAATACCATATTGCTCTGTTGATATCAGGTTTGCAATGATTTTTTTCCACTCCCCAACATGTCTTTATTATTTTCTTGTTTAAAATAATCTATACGCTCTGAAGAAAAGAATAAAAAAGTACTACAATTTCAAGAAATTTAAGTTACCTAAGTATACACTTAAATCTATTCTTTGATACAATTAAATGAAGGGCGAATTAACTAAATTAGCCTTAATGCATTTCTCTTAACCAATTTTACTTGTTACAATAATAGAATGCTATTAGGTATAATTTAATAATTACCTTTCTTTAGGTCAATCTTAATTTTCTTTGCATTTTTCTTGCTGCCAAATCCCATGAGAGGGGAGAGTGAGGGAGAGGATGGTTTTCCTCCCAGTCTTGGTACTCGGGGACTCTTGCTTTGTTGCAGGGAAGCTGATGCATCTGTTTCAGGACTATCAGTTCTTGTGAGATTTGCTGTCTTTATTCCCGATTTTCCATGGACAGGAGGCGGCACTTTTGTTTTCAAAATGCCATCACTGTTACCAAAAATATTAAGAGGTCCAATGACTGATTTTTCATACTGTTCACGGTTTTGTGGAGGAAGCACGTGGAGGAGCACACTTGGGGATCTCATTGCCTGGCGGAAGACATCCTGAGCCCTGGAAAGAGAGTTGATAAATGTATGAGGACCCTGTATTGAGGTGTAGCATCTTCTAAAGTACCCCAGCAGGGTGACAACCAGGAGCAGCACAGCGGCCAATCATAGGAGACATGATCAATATTCCTACCAGAATGACTTTGCCGTAATAGTCACTACTTACTACTTGCCCACTAGGTGCCCCTGCACTGGGTTATACATGCATTATTACCATGCATCCTTCTCTCATTTAACAAGCATGGTAGGTAGGTATAATTAGGTTTCATTTCACAGACATGGAAGTTGAGGCTGAGAAAGATGAAATAATATATCCAATGACCCACAGCTTTTACATGTTTCTAACCATGAAAATCTAACCAGAAGTAATTACTGAAGTGAATATAAAAAGCAAAATAGGCCAGTTGTGGTGGCTCATGCCTGTATTCCCAGCACTCTGGGAGCCTGAGGTGGGTGGATCACAAGGTCAGGAGTTCGAGACTAGCCTGGCCAAGATGGTGAAACCCCGTCTCTATTAAAAATACAAAAATTAGCCAGGTGTGGCAGCAAGTGCCTGTAATCCCAGCTACTGAGGAGGCTGAGGCAGAGAACTGCTTGAACCCAGGAGGTGGAGGTTGCAGCAGTGAGCCAAGATTGTACCACAGCACTCCTGTGGGACAGAGTGAGACTGTCTCCAAAAAAAAAAAAAAAAGGCAAAATAATTTGATATTTTGGATTAGATTATTAGTTAGGTTTCTTTTAGGGCATCCTTCTCAAGTACAGGTCTTCTCCAACATGGGTTGTGTTACATGAGGTCCATTTTGACACCCATGTTTGCTCATGGAGATATTTTGGCAAATGTCTTGGCTGTGCCTAAATGTCTCAGTGGAATTTCAATGTGACATGCATCCTTCCTGTTCCTCTAACATAGAGCACCTGTGTTTTTCACTTTTATGTTCCAGTGCTTTGTGTTCGTATTCAAAATTCTTACAACATTTCCTCCCCATGCCTCCCCATACCCTGTGCCCAGGTCAAACAACTACCTTTCCCAGTCTTTCTTTCCCAGAAGACATAAATGAAGGCGTTAAAGGGAGACTCTTTAGAAGAGGCTGGTTCAGTAGAGAGACAAAAACTTTTATTGTTCTCCTGTTTCTATTCCCTATTTCTTGAAAGTCAGAGGTGACTGAGGCGACTCAGTAGCCATCTTGTACCCATGATTCCACTGAAGGATAGTAGCCACATGGTGAGAGGGCAAAGCAGAAAGTCAGAAGCCACCTGACTCACTGATGGCTGTGCAGCTGCTGCGCTAACCATATAGTGACCTCCTCCATGCTCGCTTGTTGTTAGGAAAAATTAATGTTAATCTTGTTTCAGCTTTTATTTCAGGTCTTTGTTCCTAGAAGCCACAGCACATAATAACTAATCATAATCTCAACTGCAATCTGATTCCCAAACCCTACTGCCCACCCCCCTTTCTAAAGTGCTTAATTCCTCACATTGCTAGGGGAGAGGGAAGACTTCACATAGGCCACCTAACTCCTGTGGTTTGTGTCCCTTTGTTATTTTTACTTGCCTAGGAATGAGTTTCTAGGCAACTCCATACTAACTCTATACTAAATTTTTATGAGCCTCAGTTTCCACTTCTGTAAAATGAAAGTCATAATGACTGCCATGCATAACTATCAAATTCTTGTAAAAAAAACACAGTAGTATATTTAAAAAGTCGCTACTACTAATAATTATAGTTTTGTCTCTCATTCATTGTTTTAACACAGTAGATTCTTCTAAGGCTTCATATCTTTTCATAATTAACAGCCGATACCCACTTTTCCTCTACCCACAACCACTCATCTTCGTTCACATATACAGTCTTGACAACTAATGCCCAGAGAGAAGATGTATTATGAGCTGCTTTAGTCAGAAGAAAGAGGCTGCTGATGACTACCAAGGAATATGAGGACTTGGTCCCTTGGTCTAGACTCCCACTGCAATGCCAACATACATTAAAAAAATGCATCAGATTACTATACACTCTAATTTTTGGGTATAGAAAGTGATTCCCTTAACATTTTCACATTCGGAGAGATAATTTCTTAAGGAAGATGGGTTTTGCTTTGTTTTGTTTTTTTAAGATGGAGTCTCACTCTTGCTCAGGCTGGAGTGCAATGGTGTCATCTCGGCTCACTGCAACTTCTGCCTCCGGGTTCAAGCAATTCTCCCGCCTGAGTAGCTGGGATTACAGGCATGTGCCACCATGCCCTGCTAATTCTTTTTTGTATCTTTAGTAGAGATGGGGTTTCACCATGTTGGCCAGGCTGGCCTCAAACTCCTGACCTCATGACCTGCCTCACCCTCCCAAAGCGCTGAAATTACAGGCATGAGCTACTGCACCTGGCCAGGGCACAGTATTTTAATTTTTCTGTTTGTTTCTATGATTCGGTGAGTCCTCAGACATCTCTCACAGATTTTTTTTGAGTTTAAGGAAGACTCCTGACACCAAGTAAGTTAATTAATAAGCTGAACTAACAGTCTGTGAAAAGAGTCATTAAATACCAGTTTAACTGACCCATAGCCCAAGAAAAACAAACCCATTCAACGTTGCCCCAGTCAGACAGCCAGGAAGGAAGGCTTGTGATTTCTGTAGTTTAGCATTCTCAGACCCGCCAGAGACATGTGTGGGCCACCTTTGAGTATGCTAACACATAAGAAGCATTCAGAAATGGATGTCCTGAATCATTCGAAGGGAACTGACTAGAAATTATATCTACTATTTTGATCACAACGAGTTCAGTAATGATTATAACCATAATAGCGAGCAACAAAGCAAATCAAACAGTGAAAAAATGCTTACTGAGCAAAGGTTTTGTCTACGAGGTCCACATTGTTGATTTTGACAATACATTCATTTTCGTGAAATAGTCCCTCTCGCTTGGACCTGCTATTTTCTTCAATGCCTCGGATGAAGAGTCCTAGAATCCTAAATGAAAAATTTAGATTGAAATGTAATTACTAAATAATAAATGCTAATCATTTCTCCACTTCCGACTGTTCAGAAATACATATTGATTTCTAGTTACAAAAGAAATTATGCTTTATATTCAGGCAACTGTTCGTTATTTAAATCTCTAATCAAAAAAAAAAAACAAAACACTACAAGAGAAAAAACGCTTCTAGATAAACATGCATAAGTTCCAAGATTAATCTCTGGCTTCATTTCTCATGCTTGCAGTAAACTTAGAAAAAGGCTAGTTTAGTGGAGTTGACACCAAAGACTCCTGGTTTAGAGAAGGGCATCACATCGGACTGTATTAGTAAGTCTGAGTTAGGGCCAACATGACAACTTGATGAGAGAACATTAGGTATTCACAGTAACTTTTGCAGTCTTACCACCTATTTCAATAATTTGCATTTTAAGCTGAAAATATGAATAAGTTAAGATCCATTTCTTAGGGTTTTTGGCCAGTCTTAGCTCAGTAAGCATTTTTTTCACAGTTTTATTTGCTTTGTTGATTCCTATCATGGTTATAATCATTACTGAACTTGCTACGATCAAATGCAAACATTTAAGCTCAGATAATATTACTCAGTTTAGAAGGAAGCTGGATCACATTTGTTAGTGCTACCAAATCAAGTATGTGTGTGCTGTTTTCTGTGTGCTTAGGATGGAGTATGAGACAAAGCCACAGAACCAGGACCAGGTAACTTCGGTATATATTTGGAATAAAGCTGAAGTCCAAAAACTAAAGACATCAACAAGCCTAGAGCCTTCAAAGATTTGAGAGCTAACTGGATGGGAGACTAGCGCCACACACAGGGGCTTTGAACAAACAGCTAATGAACTTAATCTGATGGACCTGGAGGGGGGCATCCAGCACCCCCAGCTTCTGAGCAGGGAAGCGGCATGATGAAGGCATGCTTTGGGAAGAGCTGTCTGAAATTTCAAGCAAGAAGAGGCTAAATTAGAGAGGACACCAAGGGGCTTCTGGATTTTTGTGGCTGTAGCATAGGATCAGGTGGGTTAGAAGAAAAAGAAAGAAGAGAGAAAACTGTAGCCATAAGAATTAAAATGTGTGTGAGCACATGCATGTGCGTGTGTGTGTCTGTACATACATACACAATTCTATTTCTATATAAACCAAAACTAAGCCAAAAACGGTAAGAAATGGATCTTAACTTATATATATTTTCATTATTTCTTATTTGTGGGAATTTCCTTCTCCGTGTGATGTGACAGAGCTTAGCTGTGTCCCAAGAGTAAGAAAGATAGATATGCCCTGCAAGAGGAGTCTGCTAGGTTTGGAGGAACCGTGATCTCCACTTTATCAATCCTCTGGTTTTCCTACGTTGTCACTCTCCTTGTATAAAAACCACATGTGCTATGACAAAGTACCTTTGCATTAAATTTCAACTCTAAATAAAACATGAGCACATTTTGTGTGTAAATAACAGGGTCAGCCATAGAAAAGGGCAATCTATAATGCAAGTATCAGAGAAAGCAGTCCTCCTGTTTGGAGTGGCCATGGAGTTGAGCCTCTGCCCCCTTAATGAGCTCCCACTATCTCAAGACATCAACAGGCATGGCAGTGATATTTGGGTCTCTACTTCAAAAATGTTAAATGAATACAGCAGGCTGCTGCTGCAAGAGAGAGAACAGCACACGGTCGTGCCACCTACTGCAGGGAAGGCTCAGGGCCATAGGCACAAGTGTGTGGTGACGTCTTGTGGTTTTCTAGTTCTAGCAGGTTACCAAATTCATCATATACTGTATGACTATAATCTTGAAACACAGTATTAAAAATTGAACTATTTGACACATTAAAAACAGATCAAAATTGTGGGTTTTTTCCTAAATTAAACAGCATCCTAAGGGTTCACATTCTGGATTTTTGTTAGGGTGGATTCACCATAACTTGATCCATTAGGAGGCTCACATGTGGTTATAAACTTGTTTATGTAAGTGATATTTTTTTAACAAGCATTCAAGTCTTCCTTTAATTTAATTCAGTACATCATCGGTCATGTAATGTTACTCCCTAGGATTTAATTTCACATTTTGGGAGATGAATTAATTCTTTCAGGCCACTGGGTTGCAATTTAGCTGGCATATTACAGCTGGAGTATGCTATGTGAACCTCACTGATCTAAATAATCTAACTTTCCATGAAAAATTTATTGACAGAATAAGCCCAACTGTAAAACCCATGTGTCAGAGGTAATTTTGGTAAAATGTAAAACTGACTGATTTTATTAGTCTGGTCCCTGGCAACAGACCACTTCTGCCCTCTCTGCTCCATGGAAGGGATAGATTCCCTCCAGTTTGATTTCATCCAGACCACTATGAGAAGGCTCAGAAAACAATATCTCATTATCGTCTTTGCCCTAAACTGGTAAGCTGTGGTAGCTGTCTCATCTGGGACAGACTCACAGAATTTAAAGATTAATGCTGTCAAGGAGTTATAGGCTGAGACTAACCAGTTAATTTGCATTGATGAGCAATGATAAAGGATGCTGAAATCCATAGCCTCACAGAATTAGAGGGGTAACAATTCTTCTTGCTCTTCTAATAATCATTTAGGCACTAACATCTTCTCCTTGCCCTCTTCCTGTTCTTTTCTCAATGTCACACAGCCTCAGTGACTCTACAAGCTTAGCATTTTTGTTCAAACATCTCTTCTCACAGTCTTTATCAGCCTTCATCCAACCTTCCTCTTTCTCTCTCATGTTAGCTGTTTTCCCTATGAAACAGAGGCATATTATGCTATCGGTACTAAAACGAATTAGATTTCATGTTTTTAATTCACACAAGAAAACACAATGATTTCAAGAATATGAATAAAATTAAGTTGCTTTTTAGTTGCAAGAACTTTGGGGTTTTTTGTATGTTTGTTTTGTTTTTACTGGGAAAGCCAATGGCCCTCAATACAAGCAGCATTAAGCACCCCCTCTATGACGGTATCTAATGAATTCACTGAAGCTTTATCTAGCAGAGCAGCCACTATAATTTGCTAAGGATGATCTAACTTAGATTAGACTTCTTATTCAACAACAGGTGTGGAAACATTTTTGTAAAGGAAAAAAAAATTAAAAAAATACATTGGAGGCAAAACGAATTACAGTAATCTTAGAAAAAAAATTGAATGTAAATTCTAATTTAAAATAATGGCACAAACCAATAAACGGAAGGAAATTAAGAGCAAAGTATACCACTATGACCTTAACGAAGCCCCTGTGCTCACACAGTGAAACCATATGGCAGTATGAAGTCAGACACTTGTCTGACATGCTCAATACACAGTTGCATCTAGACACATGGGTTGAGTTAAGTATGCTGTTTCAGCCTGTACTCATTACTTCTTAACTTTTATTGGCTCATGTCTCTACTTCCATAGTATTTTTAATGTTTTTAATTAAATTTCCTTTCTATAATACTGGTGGATAGCAAATAATAATAATAATAATAGAACTATTTCATCAAGTTACTGAACAGTCAACCATGAACTTATAAAAAAACTGCATTTCTGAATCAGGCTTTTTGGTTTTAGCCAAAATAATCATCATGCTGATGATTTACACATTCATACATTATGGGTTTTACAAGGAACTTTCACATTTTTAATGTTATTTAATCCCCATAACCCTGATGTAAAGTAGGTACTCCCAAGTGAGAAGTTTAGGGGAGTTGCTCAAGGTTATAAAAAAGAACACTGGAATTCAAATCCAATTGTTCTGAAACCAAGTCCAATACTCTTTCCACTATTCTACAAGGCTTGTGCTAAGAATCAGAACCAGGAAGGAGAAAGGAGGAAATCAATAAAACTTAGTGTATTTCCCTTGTTTGAAATGAGAGAATGTGATTTCTGGTACTCATTCACCAGAGTCAGCTTGTTTTCTGAGCTACTGAAAATGTAGTATAGTGATTGCCACACTGTATATTTTCTCATTTTGGGAAATTGGGAAGATCTTGTGTTCTATCCCAGCTTCATTAAACTAAAGAGGCTGATATTTTAACAGCTCCAGTAGTTCACAAACCTCTAGCAGCATACTTCTGCCAAAAGTCATTAAAATTTCTCCTGACAACTGAGTAAATATTCACCCTATCTATCAAAAACAACCTCAGTTTGTCCTATGCCGTAACCCATAACACTTATAAATACACTTATTAACACATACAGAAAATGAGACAATAAGAGCCGCTAGCTTTTTCATTCATTTTTTGGAACACTCATTCCAGTGAGAGCTTGGCATCAGATGTTATTTGCAAAAAAAAAAAAAAAAAGGTGATGACTTTGCAATTACAGGTAGCAGATGGCTACCTGCTGAATATGATGCCAACCAAAATACCATGACTAAACCTGTTCTTTTGCTATAGGGCAGACTGAATTGAATAAATATTCAGAACCCCTAAATTAATACTATATAACCTTTGAGAAAATTTTAGTTCTTGAAAGAGCAATGAAGTGAGAAGTTAGGAGATCTGGATTTTGTGTGACCTTGTGAAAATCAATTGACTTGTCTCAACATTGATATCCTAAGCTAAAATAAAGAATCCTCCCTTTTCAATGCTGTGTTTAAGAAAATAAATTTAGTAAATTAACTAAAATCATGTCATGTGAGTAAAAACTGATTTTCTTTTAAAGTTTCTGACAACCCTTGTCAATATCAATGTAGTGCAAAATGTGGTTATCTTATTACAAAGTGACATAATATCTAAACCACTTCTCTACAATTGTTTTAATAGTGCTAATATTAACACTGAAGTACACACTTTAATTTCCACCAAGACAACAAGTTTTAAATACAGTTACGTAGATGTAAATTTCAAGAAGTTTTGACACAATCTATAATGCCATTTTTATCAGTGTGGATTTCGCAACATAATGTCCTAAAAATTCCAGAAGGATATGGTAAATTATTTTTAATTGACAAAATTATGTTTCAGGAAAATATAGCATGATGACATATTGCTTCTATAAAGCCATCCTAAATACACAGCCTCAAATATAGCTATTTAAAGTGTTAGAATGTATATTATTCTAAATGCTACATACTTGAAGAATAACAGGATATATCAATTTGGAATTATTATACTCATTTGTTGAAGCCTATTCTGGAATATTTAAAAAAATTCAGTTGCAACATTTGTTTAACAGTATGTTAACATCTTTGCCAAGGATTCTGTTTACTATGTGTCACTGACAAGGATACTTTAAGAAAGTCTTTCATAATTAATTGTAAATGGAGAAACTGTGATTGATTTTTCCCCCCATTACATCCTAAAGTCAATGATTTTATTTTGCTTCCAACAATTAAGTGGCCAACAAAAGTATGTCTTGAGGCATCCATGTAAATAATAGAATTTACATTTAACCTTCTTCTGAAAAACATTTGGGAAAAAGGAGCTCAAATCAGGGCTTTCATTAGCAATGAGCTTTTGAAATGAGAAAAACATCTTACCTTCCACTTAGAGATGAAAAGAAGGGCACTACATGTATTCCCAATGGGCCTCCTTCCCCAGAAATCTCTACTGTTCTTGTCATATCACTAGGGCAGAAAAAAACAGGAGTACAAATGAGTATCTACTAAAAAACAAATGCGACACATCTAAAAAACACACACACAGACACTGCTCAGGATTATATCAACTAATATAACTTCAACAGCAGAGACTAAGTCAAAAGAGCACATAATTTACTGTTATGTTCAAAAGATTCAGAAAACAAAATGTTTGAAAGGCTATCTGATTTCTTACTTTTACTCCTAGAAGAGGAACAAATGGAAATGACTACCTACAAAAATAACTTCCTACTTAACTTAATCTGCATAAATCAACATATTTTAAAAGAGATACACAAAAATAAAAATTTTCCCCATTGAAACACACTTGAAAATTACTGTACAGATCATACAAAACACAGAAGAAAACACACTGACGCTTCAGCATAAAGTAGGCTTCTTCTCTGGAACAGAGGAAGAATGAAATAAATTATTTATTGGAAAAAGCACAGAATTACATGTTATAATGGCTGTGAAGCCACAGTTGGTAATACATACGGGCATGTTCAAAGCAATATAAATCAAAACTCAAACTTGCTTTTCAATAAGGCAGCAGTTATATTCAATGGAACAATTCCGAATTTTCACCTCCTATTTTTTTTAAAGGTAGAAAAAGAGGTTGCAAAGCCTGAAGAAAATGTATTATAGAAAGAAATAGAAAGCCTGACCTGCCTAACCTACCCCAGATTAAGAAAAGGATGAGCTAGAAACATTAATGGATTGTGTGTATGACTGAAATAAAGAAGGCACTGGGAGCTTTTGAGTAATAAGAGAGTGGAACCAACAAGTTTTCATAAAGATGAAAAATAATAACTGTGAACAATTACTGGCTCCTTTAATCCCAGAGAGAAAAAAATAATTGCCAGAAGAAAATAATAATGTGAAAGCAAGCATCCATGTTATGGAAATTGTACGCAGGTCGCCATTGTTTTCTATTTACATGAAAATGACCTGAAACTAGATGTCAAATTAAGAGCTACTGCCGCTACAAATGCTTTCTGCTCCAAATTGAAAATGATGAAATGTTAGCTTCTTTCTGGAAAGTTGAGAACAGCATTAAGCAAAATCCATGATGAATTTACTCTGCATGAAGTATTCTCTAAATTATCAGCAATCTAAAACAAATACATTAAATATATTCTCACCGGTGGATTAGGTTTATTTCTAATGGTTTTTTTTGCAAGTCTATTATCATTAAGAAATGCAAAGAAGAATACATCAGTTTTCAGCATTTGCGAAATATGATGAAATTTCAAATCTGGTAATAAATTTCAAATGAGTTTTGCCCAGATATTGCTGATATATGTAAAACTTGTTCAGTCAAGCAGATTATGTCAGAGGCTTAGAATAAAAGCTAAAAATGAAACAAAACTTAGAGTGATAATATAGTGTTAAATCATTCATCTCTATATATGTGAGGATATGAACATTTATGTAAATATATGTGTATGGACTGTTATATAATAGGTATGCATTATAAGGTCTGAATATAAAATGCTTGGTGGGCAGAGAAACTTGTATGGCTTTTAATAGACTAAAAAGTAATAAGTTTACAAAAAATAACATATTTATAGTGCATTTTTAGCCATCTGAGGAAGTCTAAACCCAAAGCATTTGCATTCTAGGTTTACAATACTTTTTAAAAAGACTTTTATAAAAAGAGATTCAAAGTTTGCTTAACCACTGAAAATTATTACCTTTACCTTTATAACATATTTTTATAGTTCTGCACTGAAAGAAGCACAACACAAATCTTTCCTAATAAATGTATCAAGTATCCACATGCTAAGAGATAGCATCCATGTGTAATATATAGAGGTTTTTGGAATGTGTTTAGTCTGTTACAGACTTCAAGATTTCAGATTAATAATTTTTAGGATACCTTTATGAATTCTCATGTTTTTTCTATTTCACAAATATTTCTTTACTCCCACTCAAAATCTCTTCTATAAGACATAATAAATTATATGTATCATACTGATACCTACTCTTTAGTAATCATTAGTAATGTGTTTTAACATTTACTTAAGAAACCAAAACGTATTTGCTTAAGTAATCTTTTAAAAATGCTTAAAAATTTTGTGAGAATGGAGTTTTAAAAGTTGATTTCCATTTTATGAGACTCTCCTTTTAATGTAGCAGAATAAAGTTTCATTCTACCATTTCACACAATACTTGCAATTTTGTGGCTAGAAGGATTTGTTATAACCTTTATATTATTATCACAAGAATAGTACAATCACAGAAAAAAGCCTGAAACATTTTTGATTTTGTTTACTATAATATATAAGCACTTACAGAAAATTAGATCTATTTAATAAAAATAAGCAATATAATTCAATATAATTTTACATAGACCATGTCTCTTCATGTTCTTTAAAAATGTTACCCATTATTTATTTCAAGATAGAAAGGAGAGCATTTGAAAAAGAATGCCTCATGGACCAGTTCACATATTTTTATTTATTTTAAAAGAAAAACAACCCTCAGTATTAGAAATATTTGATGAAGTTTTGTTCTGCAGAAATCTCTATATATACCCCCTTCATGGAAGAGAAACACAGAAAGTAAGACTGGACACAACTATTTGAATACATATCCCATAAAGTGAGATTCTACAAAGACGTGAAAATAGGCTATTAATGCTATTTGTTTAGATAAACTCTAGAGCACAATTCAGGGATGAGTGAGCAGAACATGGCACTTTATGTTTTAGAGGACAGTAGAGTAGATAGAAAATAAGCTGGAAGGTTGATTTTGAATGAAAAATGTAGAAAATGAGGTGGAAAGGATATTTTGGGAGTGGAAAGGAAAAGTGGTTGACAGTTACCAACAAAAAGAAGAAAAAAACAAAAAATTAACTGTGTGGGATTAAAAAAAGGTTCAGTTATACATAAAAGACAAGTGGGAATATTTTACTAAGATCAAAATAGCTATCTTTATACAACTTTCTAAGACATACTAAAAGAAGCAGATAGTTACAAAGCATTAGTTCAACTAGTATTAAACTAGCAAAATGCTCTAAGATCCAATTGATAAAACTGGAACTTGCTGCTACTGATCTGAGATTTAGACAAAACTATCGGTGAAGCTGCAGAATCAGTGGTCTAAAAGTGTGACTGTCATTATGAATGGCAACTCTGCTAGAGATAGATGCGAGAGGCTTTATTTGGTTTCCATCCAGAAGAAAGACTGGAAGCTTGAGGGACAAATGTAAAACAGAAGCTATAGATGTTTGTTTGTAAGTCTCATTTCTTTACACAAGGTAAATGCACAGCATTTTTAACACTAAGATTATTGAACTCAGTGGTAGGTCACTTGTTGAGCTATGAAAGAGATGAGAATGAGGACAGGAAGGGGGAGGTTGAGGCATGAGAGTCGCTTGAACCTGGGAGGCGGAGGTTGCAGTGAGCCCAGTTCGCATCACTTAACTCCACCCTGGTTGAAAAAACTCAGTTTGAAACTCAGTCTCAAAAAATAAAAACCTAACTAAATAAATTAATCAGGTATTTCCCTATTAGAGTGGTTGGCTTTAATAAGAAACATAACGATCATAACACATATACGTTACACATGTCATATATGGTGTTTACAAAGGGTTCAATAGCTATCTGCTATTAGTATGATTATTAGAACTTTCTAAGGAAACAAGCTTATAGACTAAAAGAATAATCTATATCAAACTTTCCCATTTTTTTTTCTATTGATTTCCTCAGTAAGACTTTCTTAAAAAGCCTTAAATACCACAGGATTGAGGAACACATTTTCTTTGCAGTCAGATTGCCAACATGCAGAGAGAAGACAAAGGGCTGCAGCACCTGGGTGGGTGTTAGTTAATTTTCTGCAAGGACGGATTCACAGATCTGTGGCAAGCAATGGTATGACAGACGAACTACAGAGGGAAACCTCCAGGAAGAGTCTGCAGACAACCTTGAACTCTACTTGATGGTGAAACGTCTTGAGGATGCAAACATACTAAGTACAAATCCATCAAAGACTTTGTTGTTGGTGATGAGATCCACTTATTTCCTTGAATTCAACGAAGTTGAATTAATTGAGTTGTTTCATTGGGGAAGTTCCACAAGGAAAGAACAAGGACAAATCAATGCTTTAGGAGTTTATAATCTAAGGGAAGGGTTGAGACAGATAATTAAAAAAAATAGAAGGCAATAGGTCACAGTAGCAGATTCTCAGTGAATGTAAGCTCTCACTTGGGAGGCAGTGTGCCAACCTTCTTCTGGGCATTATATCATGTGCTGATATTAAATCTATAAAGTAAACATTCATATTACATCCATTTTAGAAGTAAACTTATGCTTAGAGAGTTTAATAGTTTGTCCAACATCATATCATTCCTATAAAGTAGAGCCATCGAGACTCAAATAGGGACTTATTGCACTCCAGAGCAGGGTTCTTAACCACCTAATCAAAGTGCAGTTTCAAAATGGAGGGACCTTGTGATATGTTTCAGAAAAGGAGAGTGCAGGCTTAGGAAGGGAAACTGAGATTAGGAATCTCTTCCTGAAGAAGGATAAATGGGTCTTCCTTTAGAAAATGTAGGTGAGGGGATGGAGTAGGCATGCACAGGAGAGAAAGTCAACCAGATGGAGATATTGAAGAAAGATAGTTTGTGAACATAATTGGCTGTAATATTAGAGGGAGGGAGGGAGAGAGGTGGGAGAGAGAGAGAATAAGAGGAGGAAGAAGGGATAAAAAAGAGGGAAGAAAAAGGTGCTGTGTACAGGAGACAGATTCAACCATTAGCTTGAGATTAAATCTCAGAGTGGTGTGTTAAATTTCTGGTTGGCAAATGTATACCTAATTTGCAGAAAATTAAGTCACTACAGGTTCTAGAATTAGGGAACAGTGTGATAAATGCTATGGTTTAGAAATATTTATGCAGTGATAAGTGGGATCAATTGGAAAAGGGAACAACAAGGGAGAAATTGGTACTCGGGGCAGGAATTAGCAAATTATTGCAATAATCTAGCTGCAATTAATAGAGTAATAGAGGCTTGAGTAATGACTACAGGAATAAAGCATCAAAACATGGGGAAATGTCCCACATTTTATGAGATGTGCTCTGCACACAGTTTAACCAATGAACAGCTATCGTGGACACAGCAGAGGATAGGATAAAATGTGCTGGCAGTTTAAGCATGAAACAAAAGGCAAGTCTGGAAGAAGGCTTATTTGGGTAGTGGGAGTGGAGTGATAAGGCAGAGTCAGAAATGAGATAGGAATTAGGGATGAGGTGGAGGTCTCATATTGCTTGCTATTTAAATAGCACATATTGCTTGCTATTTAAATAGAAGCTCAAAGTATAATTCTTTTAAAAAATCACCAAACCTCTTGTTTCATTGTCTTTTAAGATCAAAGTAAGTTGAGTGGTGCTTTGGAAGAGATGTGTATTGTAAGACTATTTGGAAATGTCTTTTAAATGTTATTTTTCTTTAAATAAAGATGTGTTAATAATGGGTGAGCAGTTAACAGTTATGCTTATAATTTGTGGAGCAGTGTATTGTATCCATTCAGTCATTTGCTCAACAAATAGGTCCCTATTATATTCTAACACCTGTATTAGGTGTCAGGAATCCTTTGGAGGATTCAGTCTTGCTTGGGAGAATGAAAGACAGTTACAATAAACTACAATCTGTATAAAAATGATAACGATAATGGCAATAGCAATTAATGTTTATCCGGCCTTTCATTTAGCATTGTGCTAAGTCAGTTGTCTGTACTATATCTCATTTAATTTTCACAATAACCTATGTGACCATGACACCCATTTTCCTATGAAGATACAAGTTAAAGAAGTAATTTAATTTGTCCAAGATTGAACAGGTGGTAAGTAGCAGAGCTAGTGCTCAAACCCAGGACTTATCTAAATCCAAAAGGTTTGGAACTAAGGAATGGTTTCATAAATGATGTGGTTTAAAAAACTGTATCCAACAGTAATATGTGAGATCAAGTAGAATTAGGAGAAACTGATATTTGACAAGGAAGTTAGTAGGTTATCATAATGGTGTAGCTGAGAGGTAACAAAAGCTCAAGCAATGATTATGAAAATGAAATAGTTTCAAGACATTTTGAGATAGACTGCAAATAATTTACTTAGCTTCTATGTGGATGTGTGCCCAAAGTCCTATGCGTGGGCCAAGCCCTGTGGGATATGAGATTCTTTCTGCCCCAGGAGCATATGGACCACGTAACTCAGCTATAATTGGCTTCCTAATTTCACTTCAACTGTTTTTTTCATCTCATACCAGCTAGAATCAATGTCCTTTCTTAGAACCGTAACCTCCAAGCTTTCCCCCATGCATTCAATGATATTAAGATTGTTATCATCCTTTCCCACTCCAGGGTCTTAAAGTTCTGGGCATTGCACTCACTCTACTTTCGGAATTTGACATAAAACTGATTTTTGTTGCCTTTTATAAGAGAAGTTTCCTAGCGTTGGTCAGGTAGTATGAAATAGAACACCAAGGTGTCAGGGAACGCACACGCAACAGGAATGTTTGAAACAGTGGCTTTGTAGACATGAGTGGTGGGTGTCAATTAAGTCTGTGGCTGTTACTTAATTGCTCTGAATTGCAGTTCTTTAACTTATTAAAAGTGATAAGAAAACTCATGTGAAAAGCCTGTTCTGATAATAAAATTGTACATATAAACATATACATGTTTTAACTAAACAACATATATATTTTTAAGTTCCTACACACTATTTCTCCCAATTCCCTGTAGCTGAAGAAAGCTTAGCTAATTTGTTCATATTGTCATAAGCCAAATCATTGTTGACTCTGTGATGCTATTCACACAGCATCTGGCCAAGATATTAACAATCTTTTCAAAAAGCTAACATTGAAATAAGTGAAATTAAAGCCAAATAGAATAAGAGCATTACACTCATTATGTCTACCTCCAGAAACAATCTTATTAAGTTTCTGAAAAGACAGTGCTTTGAAGATTTTCTATGACTCCTAGCCCCATAACCCTCCTTTTTTTAAGAGATGGGGAGGGTCTCCCTGTGTTGCAGGATGGACTCAAACTCCTGCATTCAAGTGATCCTGTGAATCAGCCTCTCAAGTAGCTGGGATGATAGGCATGCACCACCTAGCCTGGTTTGTATCAAATTTTTAATACTGTGCAGCTCATCAGTCAAATAAACAATCTAAATAAAAAGTATGGTCATGTGGTTGTAAATAAGTTTGAGGAGAATCCACACAGTAAAGCACGTGACAAAAGATGATCACCTATGTTTTAGAAAGCTAATTTCATGCTAATTGTTTGGTACCAATTAGTAACTGGACTCAATGAAAGGAATATGTCTACTGAATGAATAATTATAAACTTCAGCAGCTTTACCTAATGCCAAATTTGAAATGCCCTAAACAAAATGATTAGAATAATAATAGAGATGATACGATATTAATGACAGAAGTAGCAGCAAATACTCACAGGATTTATCCTAACCCCAACACTGTGCAAAATGTTCTACATATATTAACTCATTTAATACTCATAGTACCCCTCTGAATAAGGTTCCATTCTACAGACCAGAAACTAAGGGAACGAAAAATGAGTAACTTGTCTAAGCTCATAGGACTAGTAAAGAGGCATAGCTGGGATCTGAACCCAGGCACTACCTAAAACTGAACTGAAAATCACTGCAAAGCAAAGAAAGTATGGGGAAACATGGAAGCAAATAAATTGCCTTCATTAAGAACATGAAAAATCCTTGTTCATGGACAGGGTTCATTTTACATCACCCGTATTCATTTTACACCACCCAATAAGTAAAATATTGCAGGGTTATTAAAACACAAAACAAAGTACTCAAAGAGCTAAATTTAAGGTTCCCTGGTGGTCTAGTGGCTAGGATTTGGCACTTTCAAAGAGCTAAAGTCAAAGTAAAACCACAACAATGACCTCTGAAATGTTCATTTCAGAAACTGCTATTTGAGGAGAGAAAAAAGTAATTAAGAAATCCTGGGTACACAGGAGTATTGGATGGCTTAAGGATCATTTGTATATATGTTTGTCCATAAATTCTCATATAAAGAAAACACTAGAAAAGAAGAATTAACTGTTAGATTTGGAACATGTTTCATTCCACAGTTGTACTTACCCTAATCTTTCTTGTAAAATAAGAACACTTATAAACCATTTAAAAACACATCAAATTGAAATAAATCAGATATTTTTATTTGCATGAAGAGAATACCTCAATGTGTCCTTAGTTTTTGGCGATGTAACTAGTTCTGTCTGTTCACCATTCATAACTTCTCTGTCTTCCAAGTTCTGTGTGGAATCCTAGAGTGAAACAAAATTGTAAGCATGTGATGCTATGCATATTGAATTGAAAATCTGAATAAAATATCTCAATATGGGAGAGTAAATGGCTTTATGCTGGATATATACATTATGCTCTAATTTCTTTGAAAACTGGAGGCAGGTTTCAGTGTTTTCAATGTTCTGTTCTCTCCTATTTGGTTTCTGAAATGCTCAAATGGGTCATCCACACAAGGCAATGTTAAGAGCTTTGGAGTACTTCATTTAACTCCCTGCTACTCAGCCATAGGCTTTTGGGACTGTTTTAAACCAGGAAGGAAAAGAATACCAAAGTGGAGGCTCTAGTGATAGGTGGTGATATATTAGCCTTGAGGGACTATACTTGCTGGCCACTCACAACATTAAAATATAAAGAAAGCAAAATCCATGAAAAACCATTGCCTGGCTAGGTCACCTCTGTCAAAGTGAGGCAGAAACACTGCAGGAAGAAGAAATCCAGAATTCTTACTTTGTCATAAAATTTGATTCTGAGGATAATCTTCCCAGAGAAAAACTCAAATTGCCCGTTTAATTTCTAAAATCGTAAACAGGCTCCCACTACAGAAAGGTTAGAGGGTCAGAGAGGTCCTGCACTCCAGGACAGTGGTAAAGTTGTACTGGATGTTACCCAGAGAAGCAGAGGACAGGATGGATTCTAGAACGAGTGCCTGATGCTGCTGCTTCCTTATGGAAGATATTAGGCCTCAGAGCTGTTCTCTAACAGGGAATAATCCTGTGGATAGCCCTCTCTTCAAAAGCAGAGTCAAAAAAAAAATATTGTTAGACATGGACCCTGATTTCATCAAAGCAACAAACCAGGTACAGAAAGACCCACTAGCAAAAATCCACACCTATAAACAGCATTCATGCATCCAAATCCATTATTCCAACAAAGTAAGACAACATATGAGCTTAAGAGGCTGGGCGTAAGTAAATTAGGTTACTATCTTAAAGAAAATGAGACACAACTGCAACAGAAGCACTTTGTTGTAGTGAACTGAGTGAAAAAAAAAGTCACTTTGAGATTGAGTAGCAACATTTCATGCAGGGGTTGGTAGTTTTGTGAAAGACTTGGTCTATGCTAGATTTTTACATTATTTTTCTCCTCTTCACATAGATAAGAAGAGAAAGAATTTCCATAAGGTTAAAGAACACGTGATGGTTTAAGGTATCAAATCTTAAAAGATGAATGTTTTTGAAAGCTTTCAAACATTCATATTATGAAGGGCTTGATATATGCTTACAGATAAATGGAGACAGGTTTGGGCAGGTTACAAAAACACTTAGGTAGAAAAATTTAACATAATATTGGAACCTGTGATTATCATGTATGTCAGGATATTTGATGACCTCATTTTTGCCAAAATCATTAACTTTCTTATCTGTCTCTCTTACACAGGAATGAATTTGTGTCTGGCTCTCTATATATCAAGCACATAACACCAAGAGTTCATTGTATTAATTTTCTAATGTTGTATAATAAATTATCCCACAACTTAATAGATTAAAAAAATAAACATTTATTATCTCTCATAGTTTCTGTGAGTCAGAGATTTAGAAGTATCTTAGCTGGGCAGTTCTAGGGTTGGAGCTCTTGTGCGTTTGCCTCCCCCTATCTATGAGGCTGCAGCCACAATCATCTAATGGACTGGTTTAAGATCATTTTTATTTCTTACAGCAGCTTTACTGATGTACAATTTACGTAAGAGTCACTATTTTGAATAGTATAATTAAGTGGTTTTCAGTATATTCAGGGTTTTGTAACCATCACCATCTAACATTAGAACATTTTATTACCCTAAAAAGAAACTCCAAGCCCATTAGCAGTCATTCCTAACCCTTCCCTTCCCCAACAGACCCTGTCAATAATTAATCTAATTTCTGTCTCAAAGGATTTGCCTATTTCAGACATTTCATATAAACAGAATCATAAGACACGTGGCTTCTTTCACTTTGAATAATGTTTTCAAATGCTCGGCAACGTGTGGCATGTATCAGTATTTTATTCCATTTTATGGCCCAACAATATTCCACTTTATGGATATACCACATTTAGTTTATCCATTCGTCAGCTGGTGAGCATTTGGGTTGTTTCCATTCTTCCCTATTATGAATAATGTTGCTATGACATTTGGGTACAAGTTCTTGTGTGAACATATGCTTTCAGTTCTCTTAGGCATATACTGTGGAGGGGAATTGTTGGTCATATGGTAACTCCATGTTTAACGTTTTGAGGAGCTGCTACACTATTTCCCACATGTTGGAATAATTTGCCATTCTTACCAGCCATGCATGAGGGTTCTAACATCTCTATACTTGCAACTACTTATTTCCATTTTTAAAATTTTAATTTATTTTATTCATCCTAATGGGTACTAGGTGGTATGTCACTATATTTTTGATTTGCATTTCTGTAATGACTAATGATGTTGAGCTTCTTTCCCTGTGATTATTGGCCATTTGTATATCTTCTTTGGAGAAATGTCTTTGCCTTTTTATTATTGACCTGTAAAGAGTTCTTTAAATATTCCATACACAAATTACTTATTCAATATATGATTTGCAAATATGTGTTCCCATTCCTTGGGTTGTCTTCACTTTCTTGATGTGTCCTTTAAACCAAAAAAGTTTTTTATTTTAATGAAGTCCAATTAATTTTTTTGTTGCCTGTGTTTTTTGGTGTTGTATCTAAAAAATACTGCCTAATACAAGTTCACAAAGATTTACAGCTTTGTCATATTCTAAGAATTTTATACAGTGTTAGCTCTCACATTTAGGCCTATTATCATTTTGAGTTAATTTCTGCATATTGTGTGAGGAAGGAGTTCAAATTCATTCTTTGCATATGGATATCTAGTTGTGCTAGTATCGTTTATTGAAAAGGTTATTTTTTATTCATTGAATTGTCTCGACACCCTTTATAGAAAAAAAATTTACCAAAAATGTAAGAGTTTATTTCTGGATCCTCAATTGTATTTTATTCCTTGATCTATACATGTTTATTCTATGTCAGTATAACACAGTCAGTTATTGCAGCTTTGTACTAAATTTTGAAATCAGGATGCATGAGTCTTCCAAATTCATTCTTATTTTTCAAGATTGCATTGGCTATGCTGGGTCTCTTGCATTTCCCTATTAATTTTAGAATCAGTTTGTTAATATCTGCAAAAAAAAAAACAGTTGGTTTTGCTAGGGATGGCACTGAATATACAGATCAATTTGGAGAATATCATCATCTATGCATCATAAAGTCTCTTAATCCATGAACAGTTAACAGTGGCAGTTAATTAAAATGAATATTCTTTTTAGTTTTATAATTCTGACCTGCTCTGTTTCTGACCTGGGCCGATTCACCCCTCCTTAGGCAACCTGGTGGTACCCCGCTTCCGGGAGGTCACCATATTGATGCCGAACTTAGTGCAGACACCCGATCGGCATAGTGCACTACAGTCCAGAACTCCTGGACTCAAGAGATCCTCCAGCCTCAGCCTCCTGAATAGCTGGGACTACAGACACGCCCACCGTGTCTGGCTAGTTTTATAATTCTATATGGGATGTATCCTCAGGGTGGCAAAGAAAAAAAAAACTGTAATATTTTCTACAAAGTTTTATATAATTATTATTGCCTCTGAACCATAATCCCAATGGAACTTTTTTGTTGATCCCTAACAAGGCAGAAAAATAACACACTTTCTGGCTCAAATAAACATTATGTAACGTTAAAAAACGAGTTTTTCATCTAGTTCCAGTTAGATAGCAAGTAAAGTTTCTATTTATACCAACAACATGCTTAATGCTCTGAGTATATGGAAATGTCAATTACAATTTGAAAGCAATATTGGGACTATTACAATGTCATAATCTGCTCAAGGATAATTCTGACTACACATTTGGAGAAATCATGTGAATAACATGACTTTAAAAAGAATCCACATTCACCGACTTATATCTCTAAGACAAGAGTCCTATTACTATTAAGATAACATCAAAAACACTTTGCCTTGCCGTACCTATCAAAAGGGGGTAGTAACTATAGTTGATCATCTCAACTAATGAGCAGTGTTTGTCACTTGCCAAGATCATTTCCATATATTGCACTAACAGAATTCTTTGATATTCTCTCAAGATGGGGCAGGCAGACAGATGCTTTGGTATCTTATAAGGACATAGAGCCAATTTCAAATTGACTTCAGCAACATTAGCACTGTGCAGTGTCGATAATTATTTGGGAATAATGATGGAAGTGTTGATTGACAATGGCAGCTTTTAACAGGGTACACAAAATCATTTTTTCCAAAAACTACAAAATAATTGACAAACAATAACTTAAGAATACTTAAGCTTTTCCTTCACTAAATTACATGGTAAAATGAAGAGTCATGCAATTGTACATGTCTAAAAATGAAACTATTTTTTCCTCATTCCTTATGTAAACCATTTTGAGAAAATCTGTAAGATGGCTTTTAAATTTGGAAGGAAAGGCACAAAAATAACCCTAATTATGAAGAACCAGAGGTATAAACAATTGATGCCAAACAGCGACCATAGTTCTTTGGCTTCACGTTTGAGAAACAGTAAATTATGTGATTTCAAATCCTCCAACTTGCCTCTAGAAAACATAATAGTTTTGGAAGGAAGCTCTATTATTACTTTTATTAATATAATTATTAGAATTTCTATTTTTAATGTTAACATAGAAGGATGTAATCAGCTGTATGAAATACAAGGTATAGAGCTATTTCAAAATTTATTTTGTCTCCACTTTTGCCCACATGACAAGTCTTTGCTCTCTAAAATAAAGTTCAGTAGGAGATTGTCTCTTGCCAACTGGTCAGTGACCTTTAAGAAGTTTGCTGTTTACCACTTTCATCAGAGCAGGGAGCAAGCAGATCATATGTGGCTCTCACAACAGACAAGTATAATTACTACCATTTTTTTAAAGCGAACGTTTTTAGTAACACTTTCAGGATCACGGGAGCATT